AAGGAAGGAAGGAAGGAAGGAAGGAAGGAAGGAAGGAAGGAAGGAAGGAAGGAAGGAAGGAAGGAAAAGAAAGAAAGACAAGGAAAGAAAGGAAGAGAGAAACAAAGAGAGAGAGGGGAAGGAAGGAAGGAAATAGGAAAGGGAAGGGACATGAAGGAAGGAGGGAAGGAAAGAACAAAGTCAGTGTGCTAATTAAATAAGCCTCATTATAAATACCATATGTTACAAAGCCTGGCATGGTCTGAGATAGACTTACAAAGCCATTTTGATTGTACTAAAAATTAATTCAGAATAAAACATTTGCCCAAAGGAAAAAAAGATAACTGAAAATAATGCTCCGTTCCTACCTGAGGCAGGTGCTCCGTAGCCTCGGCCTGTTTTTAGATTCAGATTCACCGGAGTCCCCCTAAAAAAGAATGAAAGCAGAACTGCAGTTTCTGGGCTACCTCTGTGGGGTTTGGCTCCAATCATCTTTATTGGGGCCTTAAGTCAAACCACAACAGCATGAAAAACATCCCATCGTCTGCTGAGTGGACAGGCTGACCCCAGAGAAGAGACCAGGGGAATCTCCTTTGCAGAGATGGTAGCGCCCTCCTCCCCCCCTTCTAAAGGGCTTTTGGGGAGTGATGGGAGTGGAAGTTCTCCCCATCCAGATGGGGTCAGGTTGAGTTACTTTGGTTTAACCGAAAGCCGCTTCAGTGGCTTTGTACATCCAGCAGACATTTGATCTAGCGGTCAAGGCACCAGCTGGAAAACAGAAGATGGCAAGTTCCACTCTTGCCTTAGACATGAAAAGCTGACCGGGTGACTTTGGGCCGATCGCCGGGAGATGGTGAGTTCTAGTCCTGTTTCAAGCATGAAAGCCAACTGGGTGACTTGGGCCAATCACCAGGAGACAATGAGTTCTGGCCCCGCCTTAAGCATGAAAACTAGCCGGGTGACTTTGGATCAATCACCAGGAGATGGTGAGTTCTACCACCACCTCAGGCATGAGGTGGGCAGTGGTGGGATTCCAAACTGCACGCTACCGGTTTTGCGCACTTCACAGAAAAATTGCCCTCAGTGAGGTGAGCTGTTCTTAGCTCAGCTGAGGCGCAGCCATCCGCTCTGCCTGCAGATCAGCTGAGCTAAAAATCAATGGAATATGGGACGGAAAAGGGTGGGGCAGGTGGGTGGGGCCAGTCAGAGGTGGTATTTGTGGTTCTCCAAACTGCCCAAAATTTCTGCTACCGGTACACCAGAACCAGTCCAAACCGGCTGAATACCATCCCTGTGTCTGGGTGATTTGGGGCCAGTCAAGTGTCTCTTAGCCCAATCCACCTCACAGATTTATTATTGTGGGGAAAATAGGAGGAGGAAGGAATATTAGATATGTTCACTTCCTTGAGTCATTTATAACAATAACAGAGGCAGGAGACAAAATAAACAAGCCATGCACCATAGATCTCAAAAAGCTCGCATGACTATGGCACACCGTAAAGAATAGGATGTGGGAGAGGGAGTCACACATACATATAAGACGGGGCTCCAGTCTTGATATTGCCAATTGTAACTCGAATGTCGTCATCATCACTGTCGCTCTCCTCATCCTCCTCTTCGCCACTTGGGATGGCCTTCTACAGCAAAGAGATCGCATGTCCAGCATGAGAAACTAAATCCAGCTGGTTGAGTTGCACAAGGAACAGAAGAGAATGTGAGGGGGGAAAAGAGACTACAGGTGGCTCCATCTCATTTGGCTTTGGATCCCACCTGATGATGTATTATCAGATTAGTGTTGACTGTTGCCAAGCAGAGAGAGAGAGAGAGAACTTTTTCCTCATGACAGTCTGTCCCTCAGCTGCTCTTTCAGGTCTTCCCGCACTGCCCACCTGCCACACCACTGCACTGGGGCGTAGGAAGCTCTCTGCTGTTGACCATCCTCTTCGGCTTTCTTCCGCTCTCCTGAGCGGGGGCTCCAACCTTGGCCACTTTAAGACTTGGCAACAGCAAAGCTGGCTGAGGCATTCTGGGAGTTGAAGTCCACAAGTCTTAAAGTGGCCAAGGTTGGGGATCCCTGCTCCTGAGCATCAGGGCCTTTTCCAGAGAGGTAGGTCTTCTCAAAACCCCTCCCAAGTAGTGTAATTTGAACTTGGTCATTGAGAACTCTGGATTTGTTTATTTTCTTGGGTTGGATACGATGTTCTTGGTAGAATTCTCAAACACCAAAGATGGAAAGTATCAATGCTCTAAACGAATCCTGCTCCTTTAAAGTCCAACTTTTGCATCCACAGAATGTCACCAGGACAAAAAAATGTTTTATGTAATTCTGATTTTTCTGCTTAGAGACACTACTGGGCATCTGAATGCTGTTTTTAAGGCTTTCGTTGAAAAGTCATTCAAATGCCCAGTAGTGCCTCTAAGCAGAAAAATCAGAATTGCACAGAACATTTTTTGTCCTGTTGACATTCTGTGGATGCAAAAGTTGGACTTTAAAGGAGCAGAATTGGTTTTTAGAGCATTGATACTTTCCATCTTTGGTGTTCGAGCTATGCTGGCTGAGGAATTCTGGGCATTGAAGTCCACAAGTCTTGCCAAGATTGGAGACCTCTGACTTACTGTTTGATCTTCACTGAACTGGTTCCTATTTGTCCATTGGGGTCTCTTAGCATACCGATAGGAGGTTGGAACTTCTGTATTCAGAAATCTTTTGGAAGAGGTTTCTTGTTTTTCAATGTTTTCCTGTCTTCTTCTTGTCTCAGGAACTCTTAGTTAATTGCTTTTCAGAAGCCTTTTTGGGTTTTTTTCCTCTTCCCTCCTCCTCCCCTTCCATTCCTGTCAGAATCCATGGTTTGTTCTAACATCTAGTTTGCTTTCTTCTCTTTTTCCCCTTCAACATTATCTTTTCCCATTTATCCTTAATTACTTTAAATCCAATCCATGGTTCTTCTGCTTTTCTATCAATCATCGATCAATCACGTATTTATTACAGTGATAGACTTGCATGGTATCTATCAATGATGTTCACGACTTCAAAATAACTGTTTGAAAATGATGGCTATGTGCTCAAGACACATAGTACATAATGAAAACTGGACTATTTTCTTTCTCCACTTTCACTCCCACTCCTGGTCATCTCCCCCAGGGACGCCCCACTCTTGTCAGAATGAGGCAGCAAAGCAGGACACGAAGAGGTAAGTGGTCCCAACTATTGTTCACGGGAGCTCTGCCCATCACTGACATAACTCTCTGTGGATTTCTCCTGTGAGTGCAGGCCGCCCTTGACAGAAAAATACCCACCGATTCTCTACGCTGGACAGGAATGGGGATGAAGTCCGACACATTTGCCGGACACACGATTGGGAAGGGACTTCCTCCTCCTGAGAATCATCACTTACTTGCTGCAACAGTTCTTGGTCTTCACTGATAACAATCCTGCTCTCCTTAGGAATGTTTTGCAACGGATGAGATTCGATGTGTCTGATAAATGTAAACACAACAATAAGGGCAACTCGTATTTCTTTGGGCTGTGTCCCAAAGTTTCCCGTTTGCAACAGTTTGTCCACCCGATAGGATACAGATTATACTGGCCAAACCGTAGGACAACTGACTCTCCGGCATACAAAGTGTTCCTTTCTATGTGGATGTCAACCTATAGGGTTATCCTTGGCATGCACAACTGCAGCCAGAACGAAGCTTCTGCAGGTCCCAGGACTTAAAGCTCAAGGTAGCCATGGAACTGTTAATGGCCATGGCTTGACCAGGAACACGCTGGCTTTCTAACTACCTGGCCGACTTTTGCATTGGCTTCAAGAATTCCCATCCTGACTTCTTTTTAAGCAAAGCCCAATTGTCAGCTAACCAGGCAGTTGGAAAGCAAGCCTGCTCCTGGTACATACATACATACACACATATATATGTGACTAAAACAGAGTTTAGAACTCTAAATGAGAAAGTAAAATGCAAATAAAACAGATATACAAAAAGCATTTTGGTTTTTTTTTTTTTTAAAGTAATGAGAATAAGCAGAAGTGACAAAGTAAGTAATAAGCTTGCAATCAACAGAAGTGACAAAGTTACACTTAAGCTTTTACAATTAATGTAACTTAACATTAATTTAAGGTAAATTTAATGTAATAAAATTAACTTAATGTAACATCAAGTACCTCCATAACTCGATGTGCTCCAGAAATGTTATATACTGTTATAAGAAATATAGCATTGATATGTAAATGTTACATGCTATAATGTTCAATTAGCATGGCAAAAGCTTGCCAGGTGTTATGGAGACTGAAGTCCAACAGAGCTGAAGAGCATCATGTTACAGAAGTTGCCGCCTGACCTAAATATGTTTGGTTCTAAATGAAAAAATTGAAGATTTACCCAGATATTGGTCCATCTTCTGGCTTACCATTGTCATCTGAAAATAGGGAGAAAGACAAATACTAATTAAAGGCAATTATAAATCCTTCAACATTTGTAAAAAAAAAAAAAAGAACTCAGTGTAGCCTTATGAGGTTTTCCTGTTGACCAATTACAGTGGAATATGAAAGGATGTGGACAAAAGAAGCGAGCGAGAAGGAGCAATTGCTTTCCTAGACTGTCCCTGAACTCCGTCTCTTCCTAGCTTATGTCTCTCTTTTTCTACCCATAGTGACACCCAAACCCCAATCCTTCTTGAAGTCCCCTTTGAGTTGACTCAATCCTGGTGGCCTCAGGAAGTTTCCCAGGGAGTTTTCTTGGCAGCCACATGGGAGTGTTTTGCTGCTGCTTTCCCCAAGATATTTTGTTGTATTTACAACTTCCAGGATTTCCTAACATCCAGATCATCCTAGATCAGGAGACAGAACAACGCTCTCAATTTGCAAGAAAGCAAATGACAGTTGAATATTGGAAAAACATTCTAAGGATAAGTGGAGAGCGATTGGGGAGTAGAAGCAGCGACCAAACAAAGCAATCGGCTCCCTTTGGCTGGGTGTATTTGGGAAGAGACTGGACATCTTTCTGTGGGTTTAATTCGGATTCCTGCGTCTAGCAGAAATCTGAATTGAGGATCTTCCAACTGCAGGATTTCCAAATGGGCAGTCAGGGAAGTTTTCTGCAGCCAGTGCAACATCGTCCTTCTGAACCTGTGCCTGGACACCACTGACTCCGAGGGTTGGTAAGAAGTCACACCTCAGATGGCTCATTCATAAATAATTACTTGTGTTTAGAAAACAGGGAGGAAGCCACACTGGAAGTGTTTCCTGCATCACATTTCCTGGGCAAAGAGGATGCATGTGAATTTTGATCTGTGGCCTATTCTGATATTAGCAGGCTGGCTATATAATTTATGTTTATACAAATGGATCTGCATGCCTCACTCATGCAGGACCAGCAATCCCCCTCCCTGTGCAATAGAAACCCTTTAAAACTTTTGAGAAGTAGAACTCATGGTTCCATTAGAAGAGAGTATTTGTAGCTCAGGGTTGAACTGTGGAGTCCTTGGTGCTCTCTGAGCTTGGAGGTTTTCTTACAGATGTTTCATGACCCAACTAGGTAACATCATCAGTGAGAGAGAAGGTGGGGTTTGCTCCCTGTTAATATGTAGTTTATCCTGTCAGTGTTGGTGAAGGGGTGTGTGTGTCCCTGTGGTAGTTCCTTAATTGAGATATTGTTGTCTGCTTGGTTGATTGTTTGTGTTAATTCCTGCTTATCTGGGTGTTGGCTGCAGGAGAGGATGAGTTTTGTTCTTTTTGAGTTCTTCTTCTTTTTGATATCTTCCTACTTTTTATTGTCTCTTTTAAATGCTGTGCAAATGTGGCTTCTCTCTGTCTACAGAATGGGACCACTTGCCATGGCCAACTTGCTTGGGAACAATTCAACAAAAGTTACACTAATTTTGACAAAAAAAACCGTGGTCACCAATAATAAAAGTATCTCAATGAAATTATTCATACAGTGTTGAATTGTCCCGCAGCAAGGTGGCTGTAGCAAGTTAGCCGCAACGAATTGTCTGTGTTTCTATGGATGCCTGACACAATAGACAGTTAAGCAGGGACCAACACTACACTATCAGGCAGAAAACAATACTCTAACCATGGAACTTGGAAGGAGCAAAGCCACACCTCCACCAACACTGGCAAGGCAAGCCGCTGTATATAAACAGGGGTAAACCCTTGCACTGATCACGTCACCTCATTGGGTAGCGAGATGTCTGCAGGCAAACCATCAAGCTCAGAGACCAGCATAAAATGAACATTGACTGCACCGGGATAACAGTTCCACTCAAGCAGATGCCAAGGAAGCAGCATTTCCCTTAGAACCGATCTGACAAACAGCCTACAAAATCCAAAAAAGATCCCCTCTTGATTGTGATGGCATGCATGACAGTTCATTCCCTCTATACAACCTGTTTCTCCGTTCTTAAGTGCTGTGCCTGTTTAAATACAGTAGTTCACCAGAGAGATTTGTTGTTATTGTGCCATTAGTTCGTTATGGGTGCAATTATCTATCTTTGTTTATTTAAAGCACTTCTGCTTCAAATATAAAAGGTCGGAAACTCTGCACTGACGGCATATTTGCAAAACCAAAGACTCAGTTGCATCTTCTCAAAGAGTAACACATGGCCTGAGGACTCAGTTCTTAACCTACTTTTAATAGAGGCCTGGAACCAATAGGCTTCAACACTGTGTCACTATAATAACCTAAACACATTAGAAAAGACAAAAAAACCCTTATTTATCCAAGTAAAGTTCTAAAGATCCCCAGAATGTTATTTTTGTTACCATCCAAAAGATCTGTTATGGTTTACATTACCTAAGGAAACAAAACTGGATAGCTTTTTGTTGGTATATGTCTAGAAACACCCAGCTTCCTGGGGAGTATCATCACACCAACATTTTTAAAGTCTGAAATAACATTGCTAAGAAATAGAACATAAAAGTCACTCTTGATGACTGCCAGAAAACCCAAAATATATACTGATGAAGACTTTATGTCTCACTGAGACTCCTGATCAGTAGATCAGAGTTAACAGTTTAAAATGTAACAAAGACATTTTTTTCTGAAAGGGACAGAGCAGCCATATTTCATTCTTGTTCCCCTGGCTCAGGGGTGTCAAACTCACAGCCTCACATTGTCGTCCTGTTGACATTCAGCAACTTTTTCCCGCTTCACTAAACCAGGGGTGGGCATGACCAGCACATGACACATGTGGGCCACGCATTTGACACTCCTGCCCTGGCTCAATACCAGTAACTTTGAGAGAGATCTTGAGTTCCCCAAGTGATCTTGGACAAGCACTCAAATTGGAGCCAGCAGTGTGCTGCAGCAGCCCAAAAAGCCAATGCAGTCCCAAGCTGCCTTAACAGAGGGACAAAATCAAGTTCACAGGAAGTATTAATACCGCTTTATGCCTTCGTGTGATCACACTTGGAATATTGTTTTGGTTGCCACAATATTAAAAAAAAGATGTTGAGACTCCAGAGGATTAGGGGGCTGGTAGCTAAAACATACAAGGAATGAGTTGCTGGAATTGAGTATGTCTAGTTTAAGGAAAAGAAGGACTAGGGGAGACGTGGTAGCAGTGTTCCAATATTTGAGGGGCTGTCACAGAGAAGAGGGGGTCAATCTATTCTCCAAAGCACCTGAGGATAGGACAAGAAGCAACGGATGGAAACTAATCAAGGTGAGAAGCATCTGCAACATGTTCCTTAGCCTACAATACTGCATAACTCGATCCCATGGCCCAATTTTATCCATGTTTGTTTGGCTCTGCAATTCTAACTCAGATCTGCAGAGACGGATCCACAATGCTACTTCTGAACTATGCATTCGCACACCCAAGCACCAGCATTCTACTACTGGAATTTGCTACACTAATTTCACAAAGCCTACAATGCCCCAGAAATGTTTGAACCCCTGTATGTTTCCACCAAGAATGTACAGCTGCATGTCCTTATAATAAATAATCTGGTGGAACTGATGAAGCCAAATAAACGGAATAGTCTAAAAATAAAAATCACTTTGCAGTCAAACAAGGATCACCTTTTCATTTCACATTCATTTAATATTCCAATTACCAAATTACAGGTAGTCCTCAACTTATGACCACAATTGAGCCCAAAATTTCCGTTCCTAAGCAAAACAGTTTTCAAGTGAATTTTGCCCCATTTTATGACCTTTGACTGCAGGTAAGTTAGCAACACAGCTGTTAAATGAACCAACTTCGCTTGTCTGAAGGTCACAAAAGATGATCACACACGACCCAAGGACTCTGCAACTGTCATAAATAGGAACCAGTTGCCAAATGTCCAAATTTTGATCATGTGACCAGCTACAAGGTTTCCAAACGGCTGGATTAACAATTGGCAAGTGTTACATTTTAAGATACAAAACTTGGTTTGTACTGAACCAGGAGCAAACAACCAGGAGAAATAGAATGGAACCATTTCTTTGGTCCTTGTAAGAAGAGAACTAAAACTTTGCTCAGTGTGGCGTTGGTCTTTTTTTTTTCTTCTCTTTTGCTTATGCACCTAACTTTAAATTATGGCTTAATGTTGGCTTTGACAACTTTAAGACCTGTGGAGGTAAACTCCCAGAATTCCTCAGCCAGCAACAGCAAAAAGTCCACAACGGTTGACTGAGGAATTCTGGGGGTTGAATTCCACAGGTCTTAAAGTTGCCAAGGTTGGGAAACCCTGGTTTAAGGTTAAACTACTGCATTGACAAGCCACCAATTGGCTCCCAGCTGTTAATACAATGAGAACATGGAGGAATGGCAGGCCAGCTCTCCCTGAATTTCAGAAATCACAATGAAAACAAACATTCTTTTAACATAGTTATGAAAGTCTACCATTTGGTTTCACCTGGAAGTCCTGTCCAGACAGTTCCCATGGCACGTCCTTTCTACCCCCCCCCCCCCATTCTGGGCAAGCACAAATTCAATCTTTTGAATCCCCCTAATAATAACACAAGTTTTTTCCCCAGAACTACTTACTTGGAAGAGGGCTCTTCCTTTTTTTCCTACCAGGCATTTCAATTCTGAAGTCCCAACCAGGGAAGTTCTGTCCTCTTTGAAGGGCCATCCACATGCTTCCTCTTATTCCCAGAACTGTCCCGCATGGCAAGCCATGGCTCCCAATCCCTCCTTATAACCTCCCCAACGGTTTTTGAAGTCTCCACTTAAGCATCGTTGCTTGCTGTGATTAACTCTAGGGAGGTGTCAACCCACCTGAATGTAGATTCCCCAATCATCCCTTAAAGCAGGAGTTTCCAACCTTGGCCACTTTAAGCCTTTGCTGGCTGGGGAATTTTGGGAGTTGAAGTCCTCCAGGCTTAAAATGGCCAAGGTTGGAGACCCCTTGCCTTAAAGTTTAAGCTCCCCTTCTGTTCATGGACTTCTCCTTGCTGCTCACTTTCCTATCGAATTATCATCCATCCGCAACTGACAGATGATACGATCCATCTGGGTTGGACTATTGGACCTTCCAGAGGATGGAGTAAACCTTCCTGAATGCCCAGGTGAGTTTTTTTTACTTCCGTACTTTAAAGCAGGACTCTCTAAACTTGGCCATTTTGAGCTGGGGAATTCTGGGAGTTGAAGTCCACAAGTCTTCAAAGCTGTCAAGTTTGGAGAGCTCTCCTTGAAAGCACTGACTCGTGCAAAGGTGGAACCTGGTTTTATCAATCCCATGTCTTGGTTCACGTGAGAGAAGGGGCCAGGACAGCCCGGATGAAAATGCAGCAGGCTACTTTGAGGCCCAAGTTGTTGTTATGTAAACCCAGCCGAAATTTGAATCCCTGTGAATGACCAGTTGTTTCTTCTGAAAGTGGCTGCCGGACTCTAAGAATAAAGACTGGGCAGCCACTTGTCTGGTATGGTGTAGGGCCACAATGGCGAACCTATGTACGTGTGCCAGAGGTGACATGCAGAGCGCTCTCTGTGGCCACGTCAGCAGTCGCCCCAGCTCAGCTTCCCCATGCATGTGTGTGTGTGTGTGTGTGCCTCCCGCCAACCAGCTGGTCTTCATGTCTCTGCTGTGCATTTGGCTGGGGGGGGGCAGGGGGACGGGGCGCATGCACAGGGAACGTGGGTGCATTTGTGGGGGACGCACACATGTTGCATTCGGGGGATGCGCACGCTTTGGGCACTCAGTGCTGAAAAGCTTTGCCAGCCCTGGCATAGGGGTCTCCTGCTTGAGCAGGGGGTTGGACTAGAAGACCTCCAAGGTCCCTTCCAGCTCTCTTATTCTGTTAAAGGCAAGAGTGAAATATTTTCAAGTCGGAAGGTCTCGTCTTCTGGATGCAGGGGTCACCAACCTTGGGCCCTTGAAGCCTGGCGGCGGACTTCAACTCCCAGAATTCCCCAGCCAGCAAAGCTGGCTGGGGAATTCTGGGAGTCGAAGTCTGCCAGGCTTCAAGGGCCCAAGGTTGGAGACCCCTGTGAATCTGACCTTGCCCTGGCCTTGTTGGGTTCCCGACCCTCCCCTGCCTTTGGGGCCACTCCAGACCCGGGTCGCCTTCGTGAAGCTAGGCCCCACGGTGGGCTTCCCCCTCGCGCGGAGCATCCCCTCAGCGGCGGTTCCCTGCCCCCCCCCCGGGGTGGGGGGCGCTTCCCCTCAGAGGAGCCCCCGGCCGCTCTTCCTCCGGACTCCCGCTGAGGGGGCGGCGGCGGCGGCGGCCAATCCCATCCTCCCCAGCCAGCCCGAGGAGGAGGACCAGGGGCTTCCGAGGGGAAGCGCCGAGAGGGATGCTCCGCCGGGCCGCCTCCCAATTCTGGGCCTCCGGCGGGGCGGGGGGGGAGAAGCAGCCCGGCACTCGCCCGCTCCCCCAGCCTCCTCGCCGCCGCCGCCGCCGCCGCCCCCACCTCCGTAGAGCCACTGCTCCTCGTCCTCCTCCGCCTCCAGCTGCACGGCCGCGGGCTCCAGGTCGGTGGCCATGGCGGGGCCGCGCGAGGGACAGCCGACCGGGCTCAGCGCCGCCCCGGCTGCGGCATCCTGCACGGAGCGCTCGCTGCGGCAGCCCCGCCGCCGGGCTAAAGCAGCGCCGCCGCCACCGCCGCCGCCATCCTCGCCTGCCCGCCTCGGCTGCTCCCCGGAGGCGCCGCAGCCGCCGGGCGCGCGCTCGCTGGCTCGCCACAAAAAGAGCCCAGCTCCGGCGGGGGAGCCGCAGCCGGCGGCGCCCAGGCCGGGAGAAGGAGGCGGCGGCGGCAGCGGCGGCGGCGGCAGCGGCGGCCCCTGCAGCGCGAGAACGGCCAGGTCCTAGCGCCCCGCGGACCCAGGCCAGCCCGAGCGCGCCGCCCAGCTGCAGCGATGGGCTCCGGGGCGCCAACGGGGCCCGGGGGTGGGGGGGGGTGGGGGCTGCAACCTAGAAGGAAGGAGAAAAGTCCCGACCGTGAGACCAACCCAGCACCGGGAGAGTTTGGCTCCCGAAGTGGCGGCCGCTCCATCCCTGGAGGCTCTTCAGAAGACACTGGGCGGTCATTTGTCCGGCATCGCCTGGGCTGGGCCAGGGTCTTCCAACTTGGTAACTTGGAGGCTTGTGGACTTCAACTCCCAGAATTCCTGAGGAACATGACTTGGAGGAGGAATTCTGGGAGTTGAAGTCCACAAGACTTAAAGCTGCCAAGTCAGAAGATCCCTGGACTCTGGGGTCTCCTGCTTGGGAAGGGGGTTGGCTAGATACAGGGGTCTCCAACCTTGGGCACTTGAAGGCTGGCGGACTTCAACTCCCAGAATTCCCCAGCCAACTTTACTCTCCTAATCCCTCCTTATAACCCCCCAGCATTTTGTTGGAAGTCTCCACTTAAGCATAGTTGCTTGCTGTGATTAACTCTCAGGTGGTGTCATCTGCCCTGAGTGTAGATTCTCCAACCACCCCTTAAAGCAGGGGTCTCCATACCATCTCTAGGGACTAATACAATTTAATGGTCGAGACCAGGTTTAGGTCTGAACCTAGATGTTCTTCCACCAGGTTCCAGCTCCCGATTCACTAGCTTTCCTTGGATCTCTAGCTGGTCAACATGGGAGTTTCACCGGAAGGCCAGTGGTCGTGGGAAGAAATTGTGAGCGCATCAGGCTAAATGTGGGAGAACCAGGTTCAGCTCTCCACCAAGCCTGAAAAAAGGTGTTGATCTTCTGCAAGTGAAACGAGACACTTCAGGCAGCGGTCGCCTTCCAGATGTTGTGGTTGCAACTCCAGTCTTTCCTCATGCTGGTTCCAGAGCCGAAGGACTACCAGCCAGGTTTATCTCATAGTTGATTAGTCTTGCACATCCCATGGAGTAATAAGGATGCCACGGACTCTTGAATGTTGACTATGGGAAGGAGGCCACTGTGCTGCCTGAAGGTTTTTCTTCAAGAACACACAAAATACTTAGGCTTGATCCTGCTTTTCCGTAGAAGGGGGGAGAGGAATAGTTTGCAGTCAATGAGCAGGATTCAAAACTGAACCAAAGCCACCATAAGCCACATTCTTGGGGGACCACACCCACAACTTTAAAGGGAAGTATGTGTGGCTAAAATATCAGTGCAGTTGTTCTCTAGATACAACTTGAAGCTCTTGGGGGTGCTGATAAAGCAAGCTTAAAGAAGTGTGCTTTTGTTTAAAAGTGAAATGTAAATGAGCTATTGCCCATGTGGAAAGCTATATATATATGTACAGCTGTATAGGTGAAAAGCCATATTATGAAATTACACGCACAACAGTTATTTAAGTATTTATTTTTTACAAAATCTTCAAGGCATGAGGTCCTATTAAAAAAAGTGGCTATTACTTCATAAAGTGTAAGGAAACATAATTAAAACATACACAGATTAACAAAGAAGCTTCATGGAATTACAAATTATGGTTATAGCCATAAACAAAAATTCACAAAACTTGCAAAGTGAATGTATTATACAACACTGTTCCCTAAACTGTTAAATATTTACACTGAATATCAACGCTTAAGATCTTATTGCTCGATGCTAATATTTTCAGGCTAATGCAATTATTTAGCATGATACTAAAATACAATATTCACAGTTAAGAATACAAATTGTGTGTTTAATCAAGACAAAATGAATGGCTAAATTTATCAGAGCAATAAATTTATTGAAAACTTCTGAATTTTGGAATGAGACAGAATAAAGAATGCTTAGAACATAATACATTGGCATGGGGGATGTCCCATTCATTTGGATTTTTGCAGAATTGTGCAAGAATTACACTGCTCTCATATTTATTTTTGTTTCCAAATTTTGCACAATAGGTAAAATTAATTACCAATCTACTCATTGGACAAAAACATGTGGAATGTTATACCCATAAACATTTTCCTACATTAGCATTCTTTGTAAATAGGATGGAATAAATTAGGAGAAAGCATTAATGTAGTAACCTACTTCTCGGCAAACTAGTTTTTTTTTGGGGGGGGGGGGGAGAGCATTTATGCATATGATAAACTCTGTGACATTTTATAATAAACTCTAAATTTCTTAGGAATCAATGGTATAAAGTCAGGATTCACTGCTGCTTGGGGTTTTCCATTGTATCAAAGAAATACAATGTAAAAATGAATCCCATTCTCTGTGTTCTTTGCTTCGTTTGAACAATTCCAGATCCTTTTCTCCACCCCTCCCCCACTAGAAGCCTACAAAAGAAAAAGAAAAGTGATTTCAAATATCGTAATGGCCATCTTGAGGGGCATCATGGAAGAAGTAACTTAAAGCTGGACAGCTGAACTTTGGAAAAGAAGAATTGGTAAAGCCATGGGAGGAAATAAGGAGCCGTATCTTCAAATTTTCTACAAGCTCCCCCAATTCTGAATGCATTTTTCGGGACAGAATGACAAAAGCCACTCTTAAAGTGACTTTGCCTCTTCAAGAATTGGGCTCAGGTGTTATTTATTTTTAAGGCAACCGTTGCTCTATTTTACAGGCTTTTACATATTTATATAATCTACACCCATGATCAACACAGAACACTGTCAGAACTTCACATGCCAGACCATTTGATATGACACCTCAAGAGCTACGGGAACAAACAGCAGCTTTTCATGACTTCTTGCAGCTTAGGGTAAAGAGAAAGGACCCGTTTCCCATATTCCACCGCTGATGAATCCTGGGGCGGGAACGGGGATTCTTTTAAAGGCTTCCACTTAGCACAGTGAAGACCTTTGAAACTAGATTTGCCCAAAGCACAGAGTTTGGGAAACGGTAAAAGTGTCAGAACACGTTACCAATCAACATTGTGCCACATTTGCTGCATTAGACGCAACTTATTTGGCACTTGCATACCTGAGGAAAGATGCAAGTATGGCCCCCTTAACAGAGACAGACTGGAGATTTCTACAGAGTGTAAAAATGGGGAGTATTTTTTAACTACATAATTAACTCTACAAAGAAAAGAAAAGCTGAGCTGGAAGTCAGTCCCATTCATACCTGCGGAAGCTGCTTCCACCTAGTACGGTGAGAAGGACAGAGAATTCCTACATCTGGATTAGGAGGTATTAAGTGTTGCATTTAGACACTGATAGGATCAGAAAAGCCATAATGTTTCTTGGCACGATGTTTAAAAGAATATTGACATAAAATCTCCAAGCAAACTTGGCTTGGAAGGTGCAAGGGGCTTCTCAGAAAGTGCTGAAGACCTATCGAAGTAGACTTTGCTAGGAGGAGGGGAAGGAGGAGGAGGATCTGTGGGGTAACACTCAAATGAAGCTGCTCTTGCCTCAGTAACAACGGAACTGGAGTGTGTATGCTACACAATGTAACTCAGTAACAACAACAAAAGTAACACACATGCTGGAATAACTTTTTCAGCAATGCAGGATTTTTAACACCATTTGTAAAAGAACAGGCTCAACTTCACCGTGCGTCATATTGTCTTAAGAAGGTTTGTGTTGCTCTTCGACTCTCTTAGGAGTCTACAAAGCCTTACAGTCCAAGGTATGCAGGCAAAAAGTTCTTTGGATGTTTGTTTTTTCTTTTAATTATATACTATAGTTCTCACACGAGACATTTCCTCTGGAGAAGAAAATAGCAATTCAAGGCTCCAGTTTGCAAACTGGCGAATGTGTTGAATTTATAAATGAAGCTTTTGAGGCGATATTTCCATGGGTATTTTGAGATGCATGCACCCAGCACCAGAAGCCTTCCCATTTACCTCATCATGATGGGCAACTCTGTGCATGCATGATGTACGAAGTTACAGGAAAGATGCGTGTACTGTGATGTCCACAACAGCTGAATTAATGAGAAGGTGCCTATTTGCTCTGGAGCTCTGATGCACAGTCCTTGCTACCCATTAGACTAAACTTGCTCGTTACGGGGTTTGCAAACACAAACAACTGAAATCACAAATCTCCTCAATTCTCTTAGCTCCAATAATGGCTAAAAAGCATGGACTGAAAGAACTACAGTATCTAAACCGAGAATGTGAGTCACTGTGTATCAGGTGAATTTTGTGGTTCTTGATTTCTGGAACTCTATCCTAACTAATTTACTTCTATAATCTCCTAATTAGAAGCAAGCAACAGGAAAGGCAGCCAGAGGAGAAACTATTGGCCCACCTCCTTAGAACGGGAGGATTTCGGACTACTGATCTTGGGAGCAGGTTTTAGTTTCCCGCTATTTCAGAAACAACTTCCATGCAGGTTTTGGTGTAATACTTCATGTCTGTGGAACTGCAGGGCTGGATCCAATCTTACTAATGTTAAAAGGAGCTGCAACCCGACATATTTGAAAGAAATGTGATATTACAAGCAGAGACATGGAAATGATCTAAACACCAGAGAGACCAGCGTTTCTCAACCGTGGCAATTGGAAGACGGGTGGACTCCAACTCCCTGAATTCCAGGGAATCCTGGGAGATGAAGTCCACACATTTTCAAGTTGCCATAGTGAGAAACACTTGATAGCCTAACGTAAAAATGCAGGGCGCCAAGACGTTTTTTTTTTTTTAAAAAAATGTCGCCTTCCATCAATTACGGGGTCCCAATGCCAGATCCCCAACTTCCTTTGAATTTCTGCCAGTTTT